AGTGATGGTCTTTTTGGTGACATGCGAAATTCACACACATCACCAGGCTACGGACATTTATGCTCTTTTTCCTGACAGGGCGATCACGTACCAGTCAAAAATCCATTGCGCATTCTGCAGGTATCGTCTATGCTGGTCCGCAACCGTTTATTCGGCCAAGCAACGCTCTCCTGTTCAGGGTTGATCATTTAGAAGTCTCCGTTTCCTTGTATCCGAAACCTGACTATTTGCATGCCAGCTTTCAGCTCTAGGGACTGTGGAGTTGCGGAATCGCACAAAATTCAACTAAAAGGCAGCTCCGTTGAAGTTGGTGACAATCTAGACTAATGATAAGATAAAACCGATTTCTCTTGTGTTCTGTGGAATTGCTGAAGAGCTATTTTTGATGAAACTAAGCACCAATTTGGACCATTGTCCACGTTGGTTTGTGGTTGTTTGGGGAACTCTCGAATTTACGTAAATGATTTGATCAAACCTATTCTCATTCAGTTTGCCATCATCGCATCTTTTTGTATCCCCCAAAAAAGTTGTTGATTGATTAGTTTCCTTTGCTTTGTTTTTCACTTTGCAGGAGGGTATCCATTTATCTGTAGTTTCGTCCAAATATGCTGACAGATTTAGTCACGTGAAAACGATGCACGACCTGTTCGAACAGGGACTACGAGTCTCGCGTAAGTTTATTCCCCGCTGTATTGTGAAAATGTCTCATCTCTTTCTTGCAGTCACATTTCATGATCCCGGGGGGATCACACATCGTACATTAGGTCACTTAACACGACTAGTTTCCAGTAAGACATTCACACAGATCTAAGTGTCCGTGCTCAGTGCACAGCCCTCATACTGTTTACGCAATGGCACTTTTCAAGCGATAACTAGTTTCCTACTCATACACCGTAATTTACCAATGGTGAGGTCACATAATGGGCTGAGAAGATATGATGGAAGATTGACTTGAGGCAGCTTACCTATTGTTCATCGTTAGGTAACCGACGGTTTTCACGCTACGCGTTGATGATTATCGAGGATAGAGTTGTAATCATTTGTCAGTTTATTTTTGTCCATTCATTGGCTTTCAATTTGTGCCGTCTGCAGTATCACCCGTTGTACACAAATTCTGGCCAACAAAGCGTTTGTGTTGAAAAAAACCGAGCATCTGTGGTCTCGATCCAGCTTAGACGCATGATGTCTGTCGTCAGAATATCTATCAAAATGTGAATCGGACGATCGTCAGACCACCACACGTCGTGTTCACTGCAACTCATCTGTTTGTGTAAACAAATTGTCTGCCGTAGAAGGTCGGAGTATGGCGTGATTTTATTCTTCGCTTATTTAGGCTCGAAAATTGGTCGCACTCTGTTGTGGTTTTAGCGGCCTCCAGGTGACTGAACAGAATTCGGAGTGTTTACGGTGATTGGTAACGGGACGTCGGTTATCTGACTAATTAATAGCCTCTGGATTCGCAAACACACTCTATGTGCCTGCCGTTTCATTCCGTGTTTGTGGTCTTTTTTTCTGAACTCATACCGCTCGTTTGACAAACGACAGAAGTTTACACTGATTCACCGAAGCGGACAGTTTCACTAAAACAACAACTATCTCTCACCTCTTTCCCCTCTTACCCAGGATTTCAACCATGTATCGGTTCACGGACCAGCACAGATCAACCTTACCGTTGGTTGGTGTACAAAGAGGTAAGTTGTTCCACTCGTCGGTTCTATCTTTTTTCTCCTCCCCCGCCCCCGCCCCCGAAGGTGGATGAAATGATCCGGGCATTTGGATCACAACTACTCCACGTGGTTGGCTACAAACAGAACACGGAAAATTTCGTGGGCATTTACAGTCGCAATTGCGTTGAGGTGAGTACGGAATACTGGTGTGACTCGCGTTTCTGTCAAGCACAATCTGGATTTATTGTTGTTGTTTTTCGTGTCCTGGTGATTTAGCTTTCGTCGTCGTCTGTGTTTTTCCCCAGCATTAAAACTTGAACTTGTCCACCCCTCAGCTTTTTTTAGTTTTGATTTTGGTGGCTCCGCCCACTCGAGAGTGAGCCGATTTTATGGATGAACGACACAACCTGAGATGACCCCAGTTGCGCTTGAGCCTTTCCTTCGAGGATAAACCTCCAGCCATTGTACAATCAAGTTCTGTCTGTTGGGCGCACATATGATGTCGATGGTCTCTTTCAGGGGCAGACCAGACCACTACCGGTCACAATGACTTCCACGAACATTTGTAGCCTGTTTGCTACAGAGATATCGCTTGTCTGGCAAAAAAACTGTCCACTACCTCGGGACTTACCGCTGGTCCTTTGGGGTTACTTATTCAGTAGATCAATGTCTACCTATTCATGGTTAACCACCTAAGTGGCCGTTTTCCGGTCTTCGATCGGACCACATACAGCTCTGCAGCTCATGTGATGATGTTATTACCCACGTTTTTCAGTATTAGACCACAACATCGTTCCTAGACGTCATCTTTTTATGCTTTCTACCTTTTTTCCATGTTGCTTGTTGTGTTTGTGTGTTGTGTTTGAAATGCAATCTTTCCAACAAGCCTGTTGCATTGTTATCCGATTCTCATATGTCTGATTTGAAGAGTTTCATCCTGATTGCGTTTGAATACACTGATTACTGAATTTTTTCATCAATGTGCGTATAACATTATTCAATTCTGTCAGTCGTGTACATCTTTTCACGACCCCCTCGTTCACTCTCTGACTCGCAAATTTATCCCCCTCCTTTCTCTGTTCCGTGCTTTCAGTGGGTGGTCACTCAACAAGCATGTGCCGCTTATGGCTACGTTTACGTACCGTTGTACGCAACTCTCGGCCAAGAAGCTTTGCAATATATCCTAAAACAAAGTGAGTGTTTGATTGAATACGGATCCCTATTTGACAATCAGTAGAATTTCTGCAAACTTAGCCCTATCTTCGTTTGTCACGAGCGACTACCTTTCCATGTTTTGTCCCCATGTGGTCGCTTTGACCCAACCTTCGATTCTCGCTCGTGACAGTATGAATCACAACACTAATTCATATCTCTTGTTGGAGGGTAAATCAGCCTCATGGTTATCAATGCGTGTAGAGATTTTAAAGAGCATTTTACTAGCGACTTTTTTGTCAATGTTTGGCTTTTCTATTCGATGTTGCAACCCCGGCCTTTGAACATCCAAATGCACCCCTACAAGATGGCAAAGTTGTTCGTGATAAGCCGGCAGCTTGGTTCATTTGGTTCTTCTGGAAATGCTCACTGTTTACGTGAAACGGGACAGAGGGCGTGATGGCTTCGTTCGTCGAGGCGCACATTCGCCACAACATTGTACCTCGTATGATTCCCATGGCGTTTTAGAGGGAGGATGTTTGCCAAGTGAAAACCCACCCTGTGGTGTCCTGTGCAGCCGCTGTTCGCCCGCATCCACGTACTTAACGAGCATGAACCCGCCCTATTCACAGTCACTCTCCTATTTGCTGGCTATTCACCTGTTCGCTACCTGGGGGCGCTGAAGTAGCACGTATTTCTTTCAATTTGTTATTGCTCATCCTCATCGATTGTATCAGCCACGTTCCACTGCGGATTTCAGACGAGACGAGCATTTGTCTCATTGGGGTTGCGCGCTAGTCATCAAACTTTGCTGTGCTTAGAAATACCAATTGTTTTTTAGCTTTCCCTCATTTTGACTTCCCATTGAAAAATTAGCCTGTTCTACTAGTCCAAAATGATCACCAACCCTCGCTCAGTTGCTCATAATTTTCGTCGGACTTCAGCGCTATCTTCTTTTCAAATTTCACTCGTTTTACAAGCTCAGCTTGTCACGAGGTTTTTTAACCCGGCTTTAGCGCGTCAGTGGTTTCTGTCTGAATGACCCTGTATAGCCAGGACAGGTGAACTCAGTGTTTCAGTTCTCAATTGTGACCGTATTACCCGACCATATTCTGTTCACTGATGTGCACATGACCTAATTTTTGTGGCATCAACTCTAACTGATGACGCAAAGGTATTGTGTCCTATCGATTTTCTTAAACGTTTTCACTTCATGTTTGTTGTTATTCCGCACGTAAGGTTGTCTGTTTGAATTAAATTCTAGCTATGCCATATCTGGTACTGAGTGCAGTTGTCAGAACGCTAGAATGGAATTGGCGTGATAACAAGCCAGCCGATAGTGCAGCTACTTAACATCAGTTTCACGAGTGGAGGTAACATATGTTTGATACATCTAAGCCCAACTTCAGTACACAGCAATGACAGCCGCTTCGGTCGCTGAATAAGTATGATGATCAAATCAAGTGACTTGTCCAGGTAACCGATCGTTGTTTGAGCAATCTAGTTGCGGACCGATGATTCATGAAACCTGAGGCCTAAACCATGACACCACTGTTCACTAATGTAGCTCCCTCAAGATTCATTCTCTAGTTTGGGGAATTACTTATTCCCGATTCTGAGTCCACTAGACGATAGTTTCGGAGATTTTGTGGGCAAATAGCGTCACCTGTGTATTTCACGCACGTCTATGTTCAGACCATGTCAAACAAATTACGACACAATAATCTTTATAAAAAAGAGAAAGTTCCATGATTTGGGCGGAATACTAACAGGTTTCCCAGACCAAAACAGGTGAATTTTCTTGAGGAATTCACAACCAGGGTCTTCGACTACTCAGTCTGACCCACAGGGCAGCAGGGCTGTGTGAAAACTGCGTTCCATTGAGGGCCAGTGCCCATTTTATCGGATCGTACGCCCCTCGAACGAGGTCAACGTCCAAGGTGCCCAACAAAACCGTGCCCAATAGAGCCGGTGGCCACTAGCACAACTGAGGAGGTGTAGGTGTGTGGTTTGTGCCTCTTCTTGGTTGATTTGGGATCAGGGTTTTTAGCCAGCTCCTCTAAGTGAACTACTGGTGACTGACCTACTGGGTTGGTTTTTTGTTCTCACTTTGGCTGGAAAACACTTCCGTCACGAGGTAGGACTTTCGCAGCAGAGACACTTAGTTGTTTAGTAACATTTCCTCAGGTGCAAAAGAAGGCTGACCAGCCACAACCCATAACACCCAAACCCGACCATACTGAGGCTTTTGGTGGCAGTCGTGGCAGTGATATATATATA